TCTAAACACTGCGTTTTCTGTCAATGTCAAAAGATCAGGCTCCAAACTCCTCATCTCACGCAGAAACCTAGCAGCGGCCTCCAGCCTCCGCACATGCTGCCGATTGACCCCCGGCACACGATTCTCTGCAGCGAACTGCCCCGCCTCCTTTATCTTCGCCAACAGAAGGTCATGCCGCCCAATCAGGCTAGCGCATTCCTGCCCGTCTTCCGGAAGTGCGACTTCGCCCAAACACACGGCAGCGACGTAGCCGTCACTCACGAGCTGCGGTTCCCGAATCGTTTCGATGAAACGATCCACCCGACAGACACGCACGGACATAGCCACATCTTGCCGCTCTACTGGGCCCTCACGCAGCCTCACATAGAGAGTCCGGAGCTCTGAAAAAGCAAAACCAGGAAACAGGTCTTGTAGAGGCACACTGCCCACCCGGTGATTGTATGCCACCCATGTCGCCATCACTTCGCGCTACCCGAACACAATCACTCGGCTCCAAGAGCACAAGTTCCTGCGTCAGCTGCTACAAAATCACTCGGCTCCAAGAGCACAAGTTCCTTCGTTCACTCAAAAAATTTAAGTATGTAGTTGTCTTTGTCTCTCCCTCCGATACTTGAATGATACTGTTGCCCTACATGGAAAGCTTCTTTTTCTCTTGCCTTACCCTCTACCTCAGCTGTGAAGCCCAACTGCATCATTCGCTGCATTCACCTCGCTGGTCTTCTGCCTCTACACCTCTCGCCTTCTGCAGTACCCACAGCGACTGCCTCGAAAACATGACTACTGCTGCCAGCAACAAGCACAAACAAAACATCTTCCCTACACGTCTTCGCTCCTGAGCTACCTTGCTTCGGCCCATTCCATGCCTGCGGCACAAAGACGCAGCCATCCCCCGCTTTCGTGCCATATTTCACGTCTTCAACCGAAACAATCCATGCATCTCGAAATAAGCACAACTTCTTGCATCACAGCGTCACCCCACACCCAAATGGCTGCGGCACAAGAACCCGTTTCTGATAGTCGTGGCGACCCTTCTGCAGCACTCTGCCTACGTTTCAAAAAATGGACCATTTCCTGCCTTGATGAAACCCGTCCTAAAATGGCTGCAGTCTTTGAGCCCAAGCTTGTTTGAGAAGGACAGCGAACCCTACCTGGATCAACAATCCCATACTGTTTGCATTGCATGTGTTCCACCATGTCATCGTCTGCCATGTTCGTTTCATACTGCAAACACCTCCCGCCTACAGATCCTTAACCGGCTCTGCAGCATCGGCTCCTAAATGGCTGCGGTCTTTGAGCCCAAGCTTGTTTGAAAAGGAAAGGAAATTGCCAGGGTCAACCGTCCCATCGTGATACCTCCGGCAGCGGTGGCGGCCCTTCAGCAGCCACGATTACTTAAAAAGGCCCTTGAACCATCGAATACCACATCATCCCTTCCCCTGATGACTCTGCTTTTCTCTGCTCCAGTTGGACCTTATATTTGCGCCGTTCCAGGCGATATGGAAGCTATGTTCAGCCACGTTGAGGGAGAGCCGTACGGACGCTAACTCACTCCCTTGGCTCCAAGAGCACAAGCAGCTCGGGCTTCCTTCTGGGACTCGGTGGATGTATTGTCCCTTCCCTCCGGTGCGGGCGGTTACCGTCGCGAAGCGACGTGAATCTGCTTCACAAAAAACTGTCCCCAACCTGTCCTCTCGGGTGGTCTGAAACTGGTC